AGACTGTGTGAGGGGAATACTGGGTGCCTGAGAAGTTCCAATGAGGATATTCCAGCTCAACTCAATATGAGTAAAGGTTAGAAAACTGATTTCAAACACGGCCTGCGCTAAATCAAACAAACCTCAACTCGGGTGAACAAAAGCCACTCAGTAAAGAGACAAAGCCATAAATGACAGCCCTGTAAATAACGACCTGAGCTACCAACCAAAGGTCAGGCGACACAAGCACTCAATGCAGAAGTGCCAGGCTTCTCAGTCCCGCTGGGCAGGTGGCTGTCGCCAATGAAGGACTGCCCCAGAACAAGGGGGAATTCTGTCCCACCCCCCCAAAGTCAGTGGGCTTCCCACCTTGATCCTCCACAGCTTCCAGGCCCAGCTCTCTCTTAGTCGATGCAAATTCACTAGATTTGGAGACTGATCGTGAAATAGAGCTCAGAGCTGGAAGTGGCTTGGGCCATCCTCCAGGGTTTAAGGCAACCCTCTCTCCATGCAAGAAGAACAAAGTCCAGGGCAGGGAGAGAGAGAACATCTGATCCACTTTCCTGATGAAGAAGAACAAGAACACACAACTCAGACCTTCTGAAAACCTCACAGGCTTCCATGAAGCAGGGAGGTAATCCATAGTGAGTGCCTGGAGAAGATGCTCAAGCCATTTTAAAAACAAATGACTGAATGAATGGGTCTCTGTCATTAGCAACACCTACCAGGCACCATCACTAAGAAACCACATAGGGAGCACAGATCCTATAAAAAACACTCAAGGTTTAGAAAGGGAAGAATAGGTATATGTTTTTAAATGAGTACAGAGGCTGAGGGAGAGGAAAGACAAATAGGAAGTGGGGGATAAAGGAGACACAGCAGTACTCAGGAGTCCCAAGGGCCTCCACTGTGGAGGAGGAGCACCCAGGTGAGAGCAACCTGGGACCATGTGCCTGTGACTGAGGGGGCATGTCCCTAGGTCACTGAACACCCTGGTCCTTTGTGTCTCCCTGGGACACCCATGCTCCAGAACCTTACCCCGACGCTAGGGTGAGAGCAATGTCTGGTGTGAATAGGCACCTATGTTTGCTAAATAAAGACTAACAGAGTGATTCCTGGTTCCTCATAGTGCAGAAGAAAGGGAATTGATAAGTGAGCAATAAATATTTACTGAGTGATATTAACAACCCAACAGTAATGCCTACGCTTTATTGAGCTGTGTGCTAAACCTTTTCGATTAATTCTTTCATTTGGAACTCATCATACAACCATGAGAGGCAGTAACTGCTGCTGTTCCATGTTATAGGTAAGGAAACTAAAGCCAGAGGGAGGGATTAAGTGACTTACTCTAGGTTTTGATGAAACCTGTATTCCAAGCTAGGTCAAAGGAATCCAGAGTGTGTGAACCATCTGTATTTACCACTGCCTCTGGGCTCAGTACACGCTGCGACCAGTTATCAAACATACTAGCCCCCACTGGGCATGGTTTTGGCAACAATTTACTTAAAAGTGCAATGCATTGCCTGGATGGAGTGGCTCAGTTGCTTGAGCATCATCCTGTACACCAAAAGGTTGCTGGTTCCATTCCAGGTCAGGACACATACCTGGGTTGTGGGTTCAGTCCCCAGTTGGGATATGCATGGAAGGCAACTGGTTGAGATATCTCTTCTCTCCTCTCCTCTCCTCTCCTCTCCTCTCCTCTCCTCTCTCTAAGTTATGTCCTCAGGTGAGGATTAATAATAATAATAAATTAAAAAGTAAAAATAAAAGTGGAAGTACTAGGAACAGTACTTATGTGTTCCTAAATGACAAGAGAAAACTTTCTTTGTCTTCTAAGAATAAAAATGAGAAACAAGACGTGAGCGTGCGTGCGTGCGTGCGTGCGCATGTGTGTGTGTGTACTCCTCCATAATGCCAGGTCTTCAAGGACACAGGACCTCAAAGATCTTAGACTGGGCATTATTTTTAGCTAGGACAAGGGTGGGAATTCAGGAATAACACAGTTAACAGAATAAAAAAGGACAAGCTATCTTTTTTGTGTTATTAAAATTCCTCTGGCAGCAAATTAATTTTTAGTTATCTTAATAAGTAACATAACACCTACAGGCATGAATACAATTAATCTAATTGAATGTTGCCAACAAACAGGCCTTAAAACTCATAAGATACCTAAAGATACCATAAATTAAAACTTCCCAGGAGGTTAATCTAGAAGCAAATCTAGAAGCAAATTCTAAAATTAAGTGTTTAAGAAACTTTAACGGCACATCTCTTTAGAGATACAGGTTATGAGTGAACCCCATAAAACTTGTTCTGGTGCCTAAAAAGCAAGTTCCTCTGCATTCATAAGAGCATAGGCTTCTGTTATAATGATGGAAACTAGAGAGCAAAGGTAACTAGTAGATTACAATATCTCTGGGGCAGATTATAAGGGTCATCTGGATTCCGTGAGTGATGTTCATGAAAAACACAATGGAATTCATATTAGTAAGGCAATAAACCATTAAAAATACCCCAAATGCCTGGGCATCATACTACTTAAAAAAACATGTTTATTAAGAAAATAAGAAAACAACAGTTGAAACTCTACCATGTACAAGAGACTTTCACCTGTTCTCTCATTTAATTTTCTCAATTACCCAAGCATGTTGCTATCTTTTTTACCTCAGCAAATGAGTAAACTGAGGTTCAGAAAATTTAGGAATTCACCTGAGGCTGTACAATTTTAAAAGTAAATAAATATATTAAAAATAAATTATAAAAATTAAATACAATTTAAAGTAAGGAAAAGAATCAAAGTCTGTGGGAATTTAAATCCACGTATTTTCCACTATTCTTTGCTTGAGAAGGAAGGAAAAAGGAAAGAAAGGATTGCAGACAGACAGGGAAAGTAATGGTCAGTGTCATTAGCGCTAAGATCCCAGAGTCTGAAATCCAGGTGAAACATGGAACTAATCCTAAACTTGACTTACACCTGCAGGCTTCTTTTGGTTAAGCCTTTTGCTTTACCAAATCATTATTTTAAAGCCTCGCTTTAAAAACAAAACAAGCCCGGCTGGCCGGTGTTGCTCAGTGGTTGAGTGTCCACCTATGAACCAGGCGGTCAGTTTCTATCCCCAGTACCGGGTGTGCAGGAAGCAACTGGTGAATGATTCTCTTATCATTGATGTTTCTATGTCTCTCTCCCACTCCCTTCCTCTTTGAAATCAATAAAAATATATTTAAAAACAAAACAGCAACAAAACCCCCCTTCTAATTCTATCAGTAACTAACAGGTAATAAGTACACACCTGTATGCATTTTCCTGAAAATAAAACCAGATGGAAAGCTTGAACGTTGAAGGTAGCCACCCCTGCTCTCACACAGATGGCACTTGTGTTCACTGGTATTGAGCCACATGAATCTTGTTTGACCCTTAATAACAGACACAACGAATCACTAAAACTCACCAAAGCACCAACCACTGGGACACCTAAATGAAGAAAGCCTCCCCTACGCAGGGAAAACCATTAGGAGAATTCAAAGGGGTTATTGCAGGCAGGCTGGCTTCTCCCCAGACAGTAACCAGCAAATAACGATTCATCATCCTTTGCACAGTATACACAGTTATAATGGGTTTTAATAAGGCCTGCAACAATGGGCCCAGAGTTAATGAATGGCATTTTAGGTCTAACACAAAAGTACTCTTGAGACCGTGAAAATGAGAACTTCTACTTCACGTTTTGTGTTGTTTCCTCTTTTTATATGCGCTTGTATTTACTACCACTGCAGACTTGATCACACGTCATTTTTTAGTTTTTGCTCCTAAAAACAGCTACCCTTGGCCCATAACCTACTGCGTGGCGGGCGGTATTCAAGCACTTCGCCTGTGCTGTGTGCTTTCATTCTCAAGGAGTGAGACAGACCTTGGAAGGCAATGGAGCCGGGAAGATGGGAAACAGTCTCTTCTCCAGCCAACGAGGCGGGCGGTTTCGGGGAAGGGAACTCGGCGGCGTCCGTAGCTACCCAAGTGCTTGTAGCCCTCCAGGGACGGCGCGGGCAGGCGGAGAGGGGCGGGTCGGGTCGAGGGGGGCTCACTGGGTGGAAATGTGTACCCTAGTCTACAGCTGTCACGAATCTGCATTCCGAGGGTCCCCCCCGCCCCCCGCCCCCGCGGGGACCATGCGCGCACACCCCCTGGGATGAGTTGTCCGGACCATTCAAGCTTTTCTTTCACTTGGGGAGGAGTGGGGACCAGGGAAGTGGAAACACTCGCCATTCTCTGCAACCCTCCCACCCCCAACAAGTTGTCCCTCCGCACACCTAAAACGAGGTGACGCGGCTGGACACCAAACTGGGAAAAGTAGATGGGCTGTAGTGGGGTCATGGGAGCCGGCGGATACCACCCTACAACCACCGGGAAAATGTGACTTCTTCCCCACCACCTCCCAGCCCGCGTAAAGGCGCGCGGAACGTGTCCGGTGGGCGCCTGGTCCAGCAGCAGGCGCGGGGCAGGTGCCCTCACCATCCTTCTCCGCAGGTGCGGCCAGGTACATAGGGCCCTGAGGAGTGTTTGGACGCGTTGTCATCGGTTCCCAAAGGGGCCTCCAGCAGAACCCGGCCATGGGAACTTCCAGAGGGGCGGCAGACACTGCAGGGAAGCCAGCGGCACGTCCCAGGGACCCGCAAGCCCCACCAAGCTTGACCCTCCGAGCTTAACCCTGGGCGTGTGTGTTACCAGTGAGCGAAGGACCCAAACACTTCCCGCGAGTTCCCTCTCTTCCCACAGGCGAACACCCCATGGACCTCTCCACAGTGCTGTCCGCCTTCCAGCTGTGCCTCCCCATCTCCGAGGCCGCGAAGGCTCCCGTGCTCTCACCCAAGTCCCATCCGTGAGGACTCCGGAGCCCAAGGCTCGCGGACAGCTGCTGCCACCGCATCCCGGATCCCCAGAGAACGCCGGCCCCGGGACAGACAGAAGACCTATGGGGGCGACGGGGTGGGGAGAGGTCGGAGGCCCCCGACGCCGCGCCCCTACTTACCTGGCGCTCGCTGGGCCCCGGTTGGGGCATCTGCT